CATAAAGTCCGTATTATTCTGACCTATGGCACACTGACACCACATGATATGAACGTCATGTCTCTATTTGCAGCTTGAGCCTAGCTCCGCCCCTCCACGTCATGACCTATCTCAGTGGACTTACTTCTCCTCTTTGCTGCCTCTTGGATGTTACCTCTCAGCTAAGTGCTATTTTTTAATTTTATTCTGTTTGTTCGCTGACGAAGGCTTCCTGCCGACACGTTCGTTGTTTTGTTGCATTCCCTTTTCAGGTTTAACCTTACTTTTTAAAAAAAAATCCTATTAAAAATTGTTGACGTAATTAATGTAAAACGCAGGATACTTATCCAATTCCAAATACGTTTTATAGAACTCTTCCAAACCAACTTGAGGGAATTTGTCCTTTAACTATGTATCACAACACATTTCACAATGTTCCATTTGTAATCTTCCTGGTAATAACTTCACGTCTACCGCGAATGGTAATGCACAAAAAAGCTCATAACTTCTTTTTAAAACCCTGAGATCGGTTTTCAAATTCGAGGTTTAAGTCGGATATCAAAGAAGCGTTACAACGACAATGTAGGAAAGTGATTTAAGTTTTTTCCTCAACTGCTGTTCCCAAATATCAAGTTTTATTTGAAATATGACCATACATCTTATCAATTGAACGTTCTTTTGTAGAAGAGTATTAACACCATGTAGGTGGCTAGTTATATCGATCAGAAATGCTAAGCCGCAAACCCACTCTTTGTCTTCAAACTCTGGGTTACTTATTGACATGCTTGCAAATCAAACACTCTTTTCAACATTTTGGCACGGGTCAGCCATCTTACTTCTGCATCAAATACAATGTCATATAATCTGAGTCCAAATACTATGCAATTCTTGGAACTGACGGTGATTCAACCAGTTCGACTTAATAGATATTTATTTTGACGACCACTTTCATGGCATGGTCCATTTTGAGGGACTTCGAACATAAGTTCTCCTGATGAATAATGCAGTTAAAATTTAGCATTGAGGTAAAACCAACTTTTGAGGCCTCAGTTTCAATCCATTTGACTAAACCTCCGTCTTTCCCAATCATTGCTGGAGCACGATCCGTTTTTAAGCCCGATAAGTTGTGAAGTTGTAACGAATAGCGATTCAATGTCGATGCAACTGCCTCAAATAATGTCGTTTTAAGTGAATACAGTGCCGCCAATTCTTCTGTCTTTTTAAAATAGGCATCAACGCCACTGATAAAAATTTCCGATTGGGCAATATCGGCATCAACGCCCCTGATAAAAATTTCCGATTGGGCAATATCTGCATCAACGCCCCTGATAAAAATTTCCGATTGGGCAATATCTGCATCAACGCCCCTGATAAAAATTGCAGTTGGACAGTATCTACCATAGCAGCCTTTCCCCCAATGCTCGGCTTTTCAAATTATCTTCAATATGTTTTCAAATGTCGTTCACACCCCAGTAATAGGTGGAGACAGTCTTAATTTTGAGAAATCATTCTTCTTTTCTGGACATAGAATTTCAACGACGCTTTCCAGACATTCCCTAAACATTTCACATCTGTATATGGCTTCGTTTTTTTTGCTAGTATCATGGCTACTGCATAAATAGCTTTTACATAGCATGTTGACTCTGAACCCGCTCTAGTAAATATCTTTTAAAATAGTCATTTACTTGGTCTTTTCGAAATTGTCCTTTTTACTTTTTTAAATTTCTCTTCTATTAGCTGTAATTAAAAAAAAATATACGAATGACTCATGATGTAATGTTCTTTTGGGTGATATTTGCAATAAAGTTAACAATTATGTTCATTTAACCTAGCTCCGCGGGCCCAACAAGACTACCGGCGGGCCGCATACAGCCCGCGGGCCTCATGTTGGCCACCCCTGGTATAAAGGTTTTTTTCTACAGACGTTCAAATCCAACGTTTGCTGAATAACGAATATTATTCGCTAGTTATCCATTACTCGGGGTAAGTAGGGGAGAATAAAGCAACAAGTGACAAGGCACCAACGTCTGAAGCATCATTAACATCGCTTTCCATTCATAAATAATAGAATAACGAGTAAGAAATAATTTAAAAAAAAAAACAGTCTTGTAAAGTTTAATTCAGTTTATTTTATATATTTTAATTGAATTAATCTATTAGGGGATGAGAGTTATTTTGATTAATCAACATGTGTCGCCGGTTACATGGCCACCCTACCAAATCTAGTATTGTAAATAATTAAAGTCACACAGTCCTTTATGGCCACTCTTTGATTTACTCCTACACAAAATGCATGAGGGCTACCTTTATACTCCATACCGCACCTACCACTTTGTACAAACTAGTAAAGCAGTGTTTAAAAAAACACTTAACAAACGCAAGAACGGGTTCAGTGAGAGAAACCGCTCTTACTCTAATAGGCCTATTTTTACGCACACAAATTGAACGAGTCTAAATTATATAAAAAGACATTAATTCTTAAATGATAAGCTTATTTTAAAAGAATATATGAATAAATAATAATACAACATTTGGTATTCTTATGTTAACAGTCGATATGTCAAATTTGAAACTGTAATAAGCATTACAAAAATAATCTGTACGTATCCCCCCATCCCCCCCCCCCCCAATCCCCCAAAACCCCCCCACTTTTGTTT